CTGCCCAAGCGCTCGACTTGCGCGGCGCTTTCTCAGATCCGAGCCATGCGAAGCTGACAGCAGGCGGCAAGTGATGTCTTGTGAGGCAAATCTGGCCCTGGGCACCTGCTTTAGAGGTGATTAAGTCTTGAGTTGAAACTGCAAGGGTGGTGCATAACATTTAGATTTGTTCTTGAGAAACCAGAAAAAACACCGAGCGAATGATATCATATGGGGGCTGGCTTTGTGAAGGTATTGTTGTTGAACGATTGGAAACAACCCATTTGTGCGGTTCTGCTCGCTGGAGACATAGCCACACTTCGCCCTTGGGTTGGTGGCCAAGTCAAGGTGTGGTTTCCTTAGATGGGGAGAACTAGCACATCATGGCCATGTATGGATGATCTGGCGCCCGGTGTGGCTACAAACCGCCTCCTTTCTGGGTAGCAGGTGGTGGACTTCAAAGAATTGGGGTACAACTGGTACAACCCCTTGATGGATTGGTGTTCTGATGCCTCCTTCTCCAAAACACTGCTCTCGTTTGAGCCAGGGTGTTGCACCCAACTCTATTGCATACATGTCAGCCAGAGTAAAGCTGTAAGCTGAAAACAAACACAATCATTGCATACCATGACAGGCCCTGGCATCGCATCATATGCTTGTTGCCCTCTCCAACTTGGTTCGCTCGAACATTCACGAAGCACACACCCTGCCACAACCGCAGAAGAAACCAAACAACCCGTCCCTCCAAAGAAACATGCTTTGCCGGATGGTTTGCCACGGGATTGATGTAAATTGAGAAAGGGCAAGTTCGGAATACCGTCTGCGAGGCTGGAATGAGGACATACGAGGAACACACAAGCGTCCGCAGCAACGCGCTTTTGTGTGGCTTGAATGTGTAGCAGGCAGATTGAAAGGTCTCGGACAAGCTGGCACCGTCTTAGTTGGCATCGCTGGCCAGCATCTCTGCAGGATAGTGTGGGGTGCTTCTTGCACTGAACTGCTCTTTGCTTTTTGCTCTGCCTCGCTCTCTCTCCCTCTATCCTGGGCCACTGCTTGTCACGGCTCATCTGACCTGTGCCTCAATCCATGTCAACATATGTAAGCACCGGATTGCGAATTAGGCTTTCAGCCGGTCGAAAGGCATGGAAAGAAAGGTGGCAAGGCAGAAATGGGACATGAACATCAGTCAAGCTTTCATGTTGGCGTCCCTTGAACAACACGTATCTTTAATCATGCGCTGGCCACGACTGTTCCACACCCTGCTATTTGGACCAGCGAGCATCTTGTTTGTGCCACAACCTGTTCACAGCTGACGTGCACTGCACCGTTGCACTGCTGCTCTCGACGATGCGACCTTGGGAATGTTCAATGGGCGTGACGACATGCGCGAAACAATATCATGAATGTGACATCGACGCCCCATTCAACACCATCCTCTGAAATTACATTGTCAGAATAATGATTCGCCCAAGTAAGCTTCTGCATAACTCACTTCCTGAGTGGACTGGCCAAAACAAGTCCACACTTATTATGTCCCACTTAAAACGGTCTTCCCAAAACGTTTAGAAGTCCAGGAACTCGGAAACGTTGGAAGTCTTGGAGCCTCAAGACTCCGGGCATGTTGGGTGCTTTGGAATCTGCGCGTCAAGCCGGGCTGGAGGCTTCCAAGGCTTTGGCTTTTGCGAGGCGTGTGGATCCGAGTGGCGGGAATCTCTTGCAGCAGATGGAGGATTCGGTACGCTTCCTAAGGCTACCCCAAAAGTCAGGTTTGAAGAAGAGGAATACCCTCCCTCCAGCTAACATGGCAATTGTGGGAGGGCACCTGGATCAGCTTCCTCTTGGAGGGACCCCTGTCAGGTGCCATGTTAGCGGGAGGGTATATACCACGATTCTTGGCCCCCCAATTTGACGCATCCTGACACGCATTCTCAAAGGGATTGCCTCTTCGACACAAGGCTGCTGGTAGCTGGTACACGTGCACCCTTCGCCCGCCATTGATCACACTGTTTGCCGTTGTTGTAGACCAGGCTGAGGCCAGGCTCGATCGACAAAGAACGGCCCTCCCTCACTCTGCCAGGATCTCTTACTTCACTTCTGGTACCTGCAAGCCTCACAGATCTAATCTAACCCTTGGTTGCTTGGAAACCTGGTACAGACAGGCATCCCTTTTGGGGTTGGCCATTTTTTGGGGATGGTGGGTGGTACTGAGCAAATGGAAACTGGTGTCCTTGCCATGCCCCGGTTCTTCCAACGTAAGTCTACAGGTTTCTCCAAATAGAAAACCAAAGCCTTGGCAATGATTTGAAAGGGACACTCAATGGAAGATCCACCAGTTGGAAGGACATACCGCAATAGCCCCTTGAGGGATAGATCCGACCGGGGTCCGGCCGTGGCCGAGGAGCTAAGCTGCCCTAGAGGCGAAGAGGTCGGAGAAGTATCTCCAGCCCACCGTGAAGAGGGAGCCCTGGATTCCTCGCGGGGCCCATATGGCTGTGGCTCAAAAAACCGGTACCACTTAATCAAAGAAAAGAAAAAGTGACCACCTTTTGGGATCATCACTAAAATTGGTTGCCCCAAATGGGTAAGCCAAAAACAAGGTCGAAAGGTCGATCCGTTTGGAGCACCGCACCGCACAGAACCCGACGTCCCCGACGTCCGAAAAGCCGCGCGGTCCGTTGGCCAAGATCCGGGTCTTCAGACCGCGGGACCACAGGCCCAGCAGACCCTCCGCGCGGAGGATGTTCTCCGCCTCAAGGATTTCAGGTGCCCAGCCAAGGAGTGACCCAATGGCCCGCTGTGGTCTGGTCAAAAATGGGGCAACCCCAAAATGGCTTGCCCTGGCAATGGCTGTGGTGGTCAAAAAGCGGGCAACCCCAAAATGGCTTGAACTGGCAAATGGAAACATGGACTAAAACCTAAAAGGTCCATATCCTGTTGGTGTAATTTTGACCATACCCAAATCTTGGGCCAAACCAAAAGGGGGGTATACAGAAACACGTGGTTTTGCTGATTCGGTTTCATCAAAAAAATCCAGTCTCCCCTAAAATCCGCCGACCACTCTGATTCCTGTTCTCGAGCTCATTTCAGAGGCGGGGGGGGGGGGCGGGGTACGACATGTGGTGTCTTTTGCTTTTCCGGTTGCCGGGCCCGTGTTCCCACACAACACGTGGATTCCTGCCAGCCTGTCTCAGGACCATGCGTGCTTTTCACAGTGACCCAGGAAAAATAGGGAACGCTTTCTGTGGCCGACCATGTCTAGCGGCCGGAATCAAAAGGGGGCCTTCCCAGAATTCTCCAAGGTCCAGTAGGGTCCAATCCACCTTGGCGGATTCCACTGGTAAATGACTCCAGGGTGAAAGTTGATGGCCCAAAGGGTGATGATGAAGCCAACATGAGGGGAACGTGCCACCTACTTTCACCCAGCAAACAGTCTTCCGGGATCCATGTTCCACTCTGCCGGAAAGGATATCTCGATTTTTCTTTCGACAAAAGCCGCAGGGGACCTTTTGGAACGACTGCAAATGAAAAGATGCACAAGTCCAGCCCATTTTGGTACAGTCCCACAAAAAAAAACAAGACGTTGCCATCCATCTACATTTACGGTGTGCGGTGGGGTTTGCAAATCCAGTTTCCCAGTGACCCTGGTAATAGAACAAATGTGGCCATAATATGTGGCCCTTGTTTGGGATTTCCGGGTTTAGAAGAAAATCCACAAAACAGCAAGGAAAACATGATGCCGCTAAGCAACTGGAAAACAACCTACCAATTGCTGGATTTCACAATTCTACGAAGCAACATATTTAGCGAATCCCGCCCCGAACCTTCCCAGCATGTTTTGTTGCGCAACATGTTCATAACACCTTTGCAAAACTAAACACGCTGGCCTCCTGGTAAAAGAACAACAGCAGCCATCGTCCAGTATAGTTGTGGTGTAAGATCAGTGTGGGTTGTTCGAGATGGGGAATTATTCGTCTTGACAAAGCACACCAAACATGAAGGGACACCACGACACCACTCTACCCGCGCTCAGGTTTAAGGATTGATATTGAAGAACCCGCAAGCTGCCTTCATTCCACTGACATCTGAACCACCAGAGAGAAGCAGCTCGTGATGCAATCATTCGCCAATCAACCACCTCCAAGCCCACTCTTTGCAAGCGAGTTGCTGCCTCTAGGTAGCCTGCAAAACCCAGGTGGCAAAAGGCCCTTGGGTCACCAGATTGACATAGGTGTGAATTTCACTTTTGAAGTGGCTCCGACTCTTGAAACTCACAGCCCGGTGGTCGTGTGAAAGCACGAACCACGCATATCTGCGCCCTGTACACAATGGCATGCAAGGAATGCTCAAAACCATCTGCCACCACCTACAAGAACAACCTGGCCCTGCCCCCAAAGTATGCAGGTCGTTTGGCCACACCACGTATGAGTAAACCAAGCTGTGTCACTTTAGATTGAGTTTTAACACCAAGTCGGAACGAACACACATCTTAAGCAAATGGAAGATACAGTTTGAATGTAGTACCTTTCGTGCATCTGGCCTTCTCTTGGACATCGGTTCCGAGCACTCTGCTGGTCAAGTTCTCGCACCAACAATAACCCACGGAAGCACTCAGTGCTACCGGAAAACGGCGTAAACAACAATGTTCAACTAACTATTCTAATTAACATTTAAGTTAAGTAACAATGATAATTAGAAAACATGTTCTCCAAAAGTCGGTGGTTGACCCAGTAGACTCCAGGAGGGTGGAATATGTTCCCTGTTTACGGGCAAGTGTTGTTGCGGGGAGCGACAAAGCGAGAGGTTTTTCCAGACCAAACTTTTCCACGCATCCCCCACCAAACAGGCCACTGACAGGCCACTTTACTTCATTTCAAGCTTCACCAGCACGCCATTCCCCAAACTTGATGTGCCTCCCGTAATCTAGACCTTGGTAAACTATTCTCCCTTTCTTCCTTTGTCCGCTTCAAGCGCTCTGCCAGCCAAGGTGCCCACTTTGGTGAGGGAAGCCTGGCGGTTCACCT